AACACGAGACCCGAGGATCGGCGATTTCTTGGGCGGCGCAGATGGCGCGGTGCCTTTCCCAGAAGCGGTCGTTCCCGCTTCCTGGCCGGCACCGTTTTGCGTTTCTGCATGTCTCAGGGGCGTACCCACCCCGCAGCCTCGTCCCTTCCTCCCCCTGATGAGAATACCTCTTTTCTAGCTCGTTTCCTCACTCCCTTCCCCGTCCTCTCTTCCTTTCCCTTCCTCCTTCTCTCTTCGTCTTTCCTATTACTTTGGAGCTGGCCGCTCCTTCTCCCTTTCTCTCTCGCTCTTTTCCGGCGCGCGTCTTCGCGCGTACGCGCCTTTGTTCCGGCGCGGGTCCTTTGTGAATTTCATAGTCAGCTGCACGAGATCGAGCCCCGCGGCCTCGTTTACGTTTTCTAGGATGCCGCGGCCCTCTATTTTTAGGTGCTGCTCACCGCCGTCGCCGAAAGGCCGGCGCGCGATTCCGCACGTAAGGCGCGTAAACCCTCGCGCGTGCTTCGCCGCGATCTGTATCGTCACTCGCTCGTATTTTCGCGCGAGCATTTAACGATAAGTTGACTGCACGATTCTCGCGGCGAAATGACGTCAAATACAATTCTCGTAATAGAAAAATCATTATCAAAGCCGACGTTAGTTCGGCAGAATACGTGGTCGCAACATGCCTTCCCCGGATATGACGAAAAATAATTAACTATATGAAAAGAATATTATAGTTTTCTTTTTTTCATATAAATTCTTTTTAGTTTTACTATGTTTCTAATAGTGTATAGGTACAGACTCTCAGTAAAGTCTATCTTGCTAAGAAACAGAAAATTTCGCTACAATTCTATTTATTAATATTTCGTTAGAAATATAGCAAATTTGTTAACAGCACATTTCAGCTTTCAAATATAAATAAGATATATAAAGCGAGAGGATAATCAATGAATACAGAATATCGATCTATTCTTCGATAAATTTTTGAATAAGTTCTGTCATAAAATTCCCCGCGTCTGTAAGCACACGATCTATTATTTGAGTTGAGAGGGGGAGGGGTAGTTTGAACAGCGGAAGACCCAGGAAAATCTTTGAAGATCACACGCAGATAAAAACAACATCTGCAGCTTTATACAAAATTATTTCGCCGGCAATCATTACGTCGGCCGTGCCGTACATGCGCGCAACGCCCGCGCCACTCACGCCCACGATTATTTATGCGTTGCATATGGCCGCGTAACGATTTTTATGGCGGTCTAGCGTGCGACTAGCTCGTTCGCGGACACGATCTTTTGGGTCCGGTCGCGTAGTTTCTCGTGACACCTGAAACACGCGGCGAGCGGACAATCCTTTCGTTTTAGGAGAGCACGAAAACGGCGCGGAGATGGGCGGTCTGGTGCTTTTTTCTCCCTCTTTCACCCCGCCCGAACTGTGTTCCCGATTAATCTATATAATTTCGCTAATGACACACCGTGTGTCACGCACCCCGGTGAATGGCTCGTTCAATTACGGTCGTAAAACGCAAACACGATTTCGGCCAATTCATCGCGACTGTGATTTAGCATAGAATTACGTTAGAAAATTGTTATCATTAGGCGCGTGCACGCGCGATGACGTCACCGTTAAGGACCCGATGATGTCACGGCGAGCGGCCGGGATACGTATTGCGTTTGGTACCGCCACGCCGCTTCTTTTTAATTAAACAAAGAGGAATTCAAGAGCGCTGCACGAATGGGCTAACGGGCGAAGAGACTAACGCGCATTTCGCCGGTAAAGGACAAAATGTCATTGATAGAGCGCGCGGGCTTCCTCTGTCTTACAATGAGAGCTTCTTGCTACATCGAAATGAACACCGACAACGGAGCCACGGTCATTTATAGCGTCGTTGGCGTTCTCTAACGCTAATGACTTGGACAAAAAATTCATCTTTCGTTTCTTTTCACGTGATTGTCTCATATCGCGGCTCAGCTTAACAGTACTTTTTAGACTGAGCTTGAATACACTCTTAATTTATCCGTATTACATAGAACTCTTCCGAGTTGGACGCTCTATATATTACGGTCTTAAAAGTTTGTTATGTAAACAGGCTCTGATGAAATTTCAGAAACATGGGCTTTTAAGAGCCATTCGCGGTTGTCTATTGCGAGATCAATTAATTTTATTTTATTCATCTAAATAATTTCGCAACAAACATCCTCGAACATCTGTCAAAGGTCCAAATTTCTTTCACCTTAGTTAAAAATTCGTATTTCATATTGATAAAACAATGAGATTTAAATTGCCTCTGTGAGACGTAAAATTATATATAAATAATTTATATTACCATAATTATATACTAAATCTTTTTCACGTCATATGTCTCCTAAGACAAACATTTGACGTTCCATAGAGCAGCCAGTTAAAAATAACTCAATATGAAAATAATTGAATATGAAAGCGAACATCATAATAAAATAAACAATCTGCAGAAACGATCGCCAGCTGATTGGAAGCGAGACGGTCTCAGCTTTCGAATGCATTTACTGCATGCTGCTACGATTTTTCTACGCACAGATATCAGACAAATGACGTATTCGCGTAAAAGGACTGATGTCCAGCAACAATGTTGCGGGCCGCTCCTCAACCTCAGCGCACCGCCCGAGTTATCAAGTTGGCGGTGCGAACGTGCTACTAAGTACTACGCGCGTGCCACCGCTTGCCGGTAAAAGAACGCGAACGCCAACTCTTGGAATGCTCAAATCTTGGCAAAAATCGAACAGGCGCGTGATCTCGAAAGCTGGGCTGATATTGTAACCACTGCCGAAAATCATACTCACTTTTGCCTGCAAATATCATTGACTGGATATAAAAGAAAGAGCTACATAAAAGATGTTGGGTCTGCAACAATAATCGCTACTTGCAACTTATCTTAGGTGAGATACGCTCAAAGGAAAAGATGATAATGGCAATTATGAAGTGACAACTATACGAGTTTAGTATGTAGAATTTTATAATGTATATAGTATTTTATAATACTTTCTCCAATGCTCATTTCTGATGCTCAGTTACAATAACTATAAAACAGGCTATTAACAATGTACATTAATTCTACGTATAAAGCTCATATAGTTATCACTTGTATAGTTACCTGTATAGTCACCATGTTTTTTCCCGAAGTGTGCTCAGATTTGAATTTATAGGGTTTAGACGTGAACTTTTGAGCTGAATCACGACTATAAATGCGATGTCACGTATAATATATAGTTCAATATAAAAGTTCAGAGCTAACTTTAAATGTAGATCCGAGTATCTTACGTGAGACAAGTTTTAAATGACGACTATTAATACGGACCCAAGAATGAGGTACTCCACGACGGAAATCGTAGGTTTACGGCAAGAGCGCGATGGGTCCGCACGCTCGCGGGCAACGTGGAGGCCGAGCCGGTCGCCGTAAATGGTACTTCGGACGCGAGTTAATCAGGTTGGATGGGAAGTGTATTAAAGACCGCGGAGCACGAGGATGGCCTTGCACGCGCCAACAATCTCGGAGGCATTGGCCTAATGCTCCACCATGAGCCGTTCGCCGGCCCGAACTTTGTTTTCTTCTCACCCAAGAGGGACTTAATAGCGAAGCGCGGCTGCGCAAGCAGAGAAGAAACTGCGCGCGTGTGTGCGTGTGTACGCGAGAAAGAAAAAGAGGACGTGCCGGGTTGCGCAATCTGCATCCACGCTTCCTTCCACGAAGATTCCACCGCGTGTCCGTGTGGATCGAGCGCTTAATTTGCACGTTTAATTTATCGATGATATCAATTGAGTCACAGACGATCGTGAGAAAGAAATGCTGATCGCGTTCGAGAAATATTACTTCTTGCTGTACTAATTCGTTTACGTAATCCTTCGGTTGCTCGTCGATTTCTTGGATCAACTGAGCATTTCTCTGTACCTATTAACACTTCAAGTGTTGCGCCACTTGGGTGACGTCTGTATTTTCTCGGGAGTTACGGCGATCGAGAATACGCTTGACTCTAATTTACTCCCCGTTTGATTCATCGCGTCGAAAGCGAATGCTTAATTCATTATTCATATATTAATTTTTTGTATCCTCTTGTTTCTCCATTCCTTGTGTACTTCTGTCTTTTATTACTATCTATTATACATTTCCTCTATTGACAATTTCCTCTGCATTACCATACTAATTTAAGCTTGCCTACATTACCTACATTATCCTATTCCTTATGACGCCATAACCTCTATTACTTATGCACTTTACCACTTAATGACTTGTTTCACCTTCACTTACACTATCTACGCGCTCATTCCTACATAATTTCCGCCAAACTATAGTAAACTTTTACTATAAAATTTTCTCTGTATAACCTAAGCTAATATTTTATAGTTAAATATATGTGCCTATAAATAAAAAGCTATCATTCTACTGCTAAAAAACGATTACTCAGTTCACTTTCTTTCAAATAATAATTATCTTTAACAAAGAATACATGTTTTTGATAATCTTAAAATATACGCATTGTAAATTTGAGAAGAACTCTATCATGTACTTAAAATAAAAATGTATGTCCTCTTTATAAAAATATTACACAAAATTTTATTGAAGAAAGAGTTGGCTCGACTCCATGTAGTAAACAAATCGAATATTAGTTTTAATTTCATATTCTTGATTGAAATTGCTAAACTTACTAGGATTCAGAATATATTTTGAATAAATTAATGCTTCTGAAAAAAATTTATGATAGATTCACGGATATATAAATCTATAAAATACTTGAAACAAGTAACACTTATCTGAATGCTGTATGTATTTCTCTGTATGTACTAACAGTTATAATTTTAAGTATTCATATGTCATAACGCGAGAGATTTATTACATACAGATTTTTGTTACCGCAACTAACTTTTTTATTCCGATACACTCGATCACTCCGCAATTCCCGAGAAGATGCGGGTCACACTCGATCTTGCAATGCCGTCAATCGGTACCGACACGAACGAATGTTGTAAAACGCTCATATTTGTATCCGCAGGTAAGAAGCTGAAGTGTCCCTACTGCGAAAGACTATACGGCTACGAGACGAACCTGCGAGCCCACATACGGCAACGTCACCAGGGCATCAGGGTGCATTGTCCGCATTGTGCACGCACGTTCACCAGGAACAACACGGTTAGACGGCATATTGCGCGAGAGCACAAAGACGTGGCCTTCGAACTGAAGGCAGTATTCCAGCAGTCCAATCATTCGCTCTCGGACATTGTGCCGCAGTAACAACGTCTTCGGCGTCGCTGTCGTCCTCGTCGCCACCAGAGCCGTCGGCCCGCGCGTGGTACCAATCACTAACCGGCCACCAGCAACCCTGTGTGACCAGCTGTCGGGACTACCCGCGGGACCACCGGCTCACGGATAGTGCGAACGAGACGACACGTGAGGAGAGGCTGCAGTAGGTACCTTCGTTTTCCCTTCGTCGTCGTCAGCGAACACCGTCCCGGTCCCTCGTCGCGAGGACGACTCTCTCCGTGCGCTCCCGTCGAAATGTCGCGTCACGAGGGAAGACGTTTGCCGAGAGAAACGGACGAAATGATTAGGGTTAGATTGTAGAGAAGAGAAAAAGGCGCAAGAGAAATAGAGAGAAAGAAAGAGAGAGATATAGATAGGTAGAAAGAGAGAGAAAGAGAGCGCGCGGTATACAATGCGCACAGAGCAGCGCCTCGGATACGCTCGCGAAAACGCTACGAACCACAAAACTAGTCAATGAAAGTGCAACGGTCAAGTAAGGTTTATTAACTAGAGCTTTTTAACGGGCGAGAGAGAGAGAGAGAGAGAGAGAGAGAGGAGAGAAAGAGAGAGAACGAGTGAAGATAAAGCGGAGAGCGAGTACATGCGTCAACACAGTCATGTAGCGCAGATCGGCGTCGGGCAGGAACGCGTTCGCCAGTACGAGCAGAGATTTCAAAAGTGCGTTCGCAAACGCGTGACTTTAAACGCGTATGTGGAGTGTACGAGACGTATACGCTCAAATTCCGTCTTAGAGACGATCAATAACATTCGCGACGGAATGCCGTTCGCGATTCCGCTTCGGGTTCCTGCGCAGGTCGCGTCCGAATACGCACACACGATAGATCGATATCTCGTTTGCGGACGCATGTATATTCGCGCGAGTACGTTCCGTACGACGCGAGGCGCACTGCGCGACGAGAGAACAATGCAAACTCAGGTAAACTAACGTGGCACCAACAGCCAGAGCGCTGACTTTTTGATATAGTTCAACATTACATTTTACCATAGATCGACCTTTACTCGTCGTCGCGTTTAAACAGTTAACGCCGTTAACCGATACGTCTTTCTGGTACTACTGCGCTATTACTACTATTACTACTACTACTACTACTACTACTACTATCGCTGTTGAGAAGTCGAGCCTAGGATCGTGTGACACTTGGGTAATATCTATCCAACGTTACACCACGCGCCCACAGTGCCAAACCAGACGCTTTCCCTTTTTTTTTTTCTACTCTAGATAGTCTCTATTACTCATACTCACATATAAACACACATACACACACGCACGTTCAAAGAAACAGACATGACGATGGCAACTATAAAGTGGTTTATACGATTTTTGCGTAGAATTAAAATGTATATAGTCCAATAAATTATTTTATAGTTGTTGCAACTGAAGCTTCAGTTGCAACACAACTACAAAACATTTTGTTAAATTATATACATTATAATTCTGCATACAAAACTCTCGTATAGTTCACTACAAAACCAAGCGTGTTATTCTGGCTGAATTTCTTCTTATACGTTTCTCACTGTTTCAAGTCACATCATCTTGACATGTTCAAATGTACTAAATTCCAATTTACACGTCTTGAGCGTGTGTTAAATGACGTGATTGAGAACCGCAAGGAACGTGCGAAAAGAGCTTCAGTTGAATTGCACGCTTATGCGTTTAAGAGTGACAGTACTTGGATTTGCACAGTCACTTGTCACTTTGTAGTCACCACATTGCCATGTTGTCCTCTGAGCGCCCACTACTACAGACAGAATCGAGATTTCGTTTTCGCCTTCTCCTATACGCGTGTGATATAAACACACTCTTCGCCGACGTTAACGATAATAATAATCGCGGTGACACATATCCAAAGTCGCGCCGAGACGACACCCCGACGACACACTCACACCTTTTGTACAGATACGATTTTATAGGACGTTTATGAGATTACTGCGATTCTAGGGCGGACGACTGTCGTACGATTAGCCGCGGGAGTGCGCGCGACTGCACGCCGACACTTCTTGGCGAATGCGAGAGCACGAGCACGCGGGTGGAAACGTCGGCCGAGCAATAAATCGCCGATAATCGCCGCTTGTTAAACACTTTCACACCGACGTCGATCTTCCCGCCTCGGCCCCGCGGACGAGAGCGACGAGAGCGCGCCGTTCGCTTCTCTCTCTTATTTCGCCACGCATTCGCCACGGAAGTCTCCCAGCAGCGGCGTCCTCGCGGCAAAACGATCACTACCACTTTGTTACCTGTTTACAATGTTTAAATGCGGACTTTTGTCCGGAGCAATAGTCGCGTACCGAGATAATAGAGTATAGCCATCGATCACACGTGAGAAACAGTGGGCGCAGTTGCGCGAAATAGTTGCTATCCCGGTTGTATAAGATGTGATCAATGCAATAGATTTTATTACACATTACCTATATATAGATATATATATAGAGAGAGATATACTCCTAGTCAGGATGGCACCCACGATATTACTTGTTGCAGTATTTACACTCTTTATACAGATTATCCTCTCTTATTTCCGTTTACTCTTGTTCTCCCTTTTGTTTTTTGCAGAAAGTTTAAATGGTTATTCTCACAACGATACGCCTACTGTAAGTTATCAATGAGAGACAATAGACGATAGAGCGAGCGAGCGAGCGAGCAAGAGAGAGAGAGAGAGAGAGAGAGAGAGAGAGAGAGAGAGAGAGAGAGAGAGAAAGAGAGAATTATTTAGTAATATTTAAAAGGATCGTGCGCAATCTGAGGGATACCAATATATAGTTAACACGATTAAGGGGCCCAGAGGGTACAATTTTACGTTTCTTTAGTTCTTTGTTTTTTTTTTCTTTTTCTTTAGTTTGCCCATTCTTTTCTTCTTTTTCGTTTTTTCCCCCCATTTAGATACTGTTCAACAACATGCCAAATATACACGCGAGCACACGCGCGCGCGCATACTCTGCCAAAAGTATGACAGTACTACCTCATCGTTTTGCATACGCACACACATCCACACGGACACACATAGCCACTTACACACACAAACATGCAAACGCATACAAAGGGAACACAATAGCGATTAACGGTATAATGAAACCTGTACATTCCGTACAGCCGCTAGCACTACTATTTGGTCCGATTAATGTCGGAGCAGTTCTCCTGCCATTGCTACCCTCTCACGCGGAGGGTAACGTAAGTAAGATCGCGGATCTCGGAGCCGCTCGCGCGAACTCTCGTCCCGTCACGAGAATCGTGCTCGATTCAGTCGCCTTTTTTTCACAACGCCACACGCGCGTGTCGCCAACCGGACGAAGACGCGCAGATCGCAGGCTGAATCGATTTTGAACTCATTTTCCGCGATCGTCCTCGTCCCGCTCGAACAGAATTCGCTGGCACGGGCAGGCTCCGGGATCCTCGAAAGTCGCGCGCAATATCTGTCTGTACGTACAATAGACCCGTTGTTCTCTTTCCTTTCCTTTTGGTTCAATTACGCGAGCGTATTACAAAATACGCATGTACAACTGTAAAATCGTAGCGTAGAGTGAGTGAGAGCAAGCGAGCGTGCGTATATGCGTGAGCAGCCGTGAATGCGTGCGCGCTTTCGTCGGATGCGCACGCAAACGGTCGGGGATGGATGGTTGGGTTGCTCGGGGAGAGGTGAGGAGGCGGGGGTTGGGGACGAAGTCGCATTGCGAAGTCCGTGGTTAAAATTACGACTCGACGTCCAACACGGACGTCGTTGTAACGGGAAGGAGCACTGTCTTCGTTTTTCCAGAAAGGAGATGCGCGAGATGTGTGGGTTTGTGGATGGCGGAATGAGCGAGTGAGTGAGGAAGATAGAGAGTGCAGAATGCTGAGGAACGAGATGAGAGTAGAGAAACGAAGCGGTGAAAGAGGCAAAATTATTCGAGCTAGGGTGACACCGATTGTCTCGAGGGCGCACGAAGTTAACCGGGGATAGGGTTGACGATGCTGGACGACGGAGATTATATAGTCATAGGGAAGTTAATTCCCGGGGGAGAGTGCCGCGGGAAGGATATTCAAAGATGTTATGTGTCGTTTACGTATGTGATGATAGGAACATACACACACGCGCATACACACACACGTACACACACGCACTATACAGAAAGAGGGAGGAGGGGGGAGGGGAGAGACACGCAACACACAGACACATACTAATCGTGTAAATAGATACGATCGCGTATGCCAAGTTATAATGAATCTTTTACTTGATATATATACAAAATATATATATTGTTTTCGGCTGTTCTGCTAAGCAGAAGCAAAGACGGAAGGGGGTGGGAGGAGGAAGAGAGAGGGGATAGTTGGGAAAGGGGGGAACGGATATCTTTAAGCGGTACAATGAATTAGCGTTAAGTTTAAGTAAAGGGGTGCGATTTATCGGCAGTGGAGTGTGTGTGGCGAGAGGAATTTGGAAGTTAGGGTAAAAATATCGCGTCGGATGGGGCGGGCGGGTTGAAGCCAGGGTTTAATTGTTTTGTCATACGTAAGAGTCTAGAGTGCATACGTAGTAAAGGTATTTCACACGAAACACACACACATAAACACGTGCACACGCAAACGTACACACGTACACACAAAGTATACGTGCGTGCGGAGGAAAAGCGACAAGCAACGATAGTCGAGGGCTACAAAGTAACGAGACAAACAAAATTACACACGTACCTAAAAGATAATCAACGTAGAATTAAATTGAATTTAGAATTAGTCGTATATCGTCGCGAAACGTTGGCCACGTACACGTAAATATATTAGAGCGACAGCGACCGATGCGATTTCCCTTCCGGAATTGTCGCTCCTTTCCGGAGCAAATCCTACCTGTCGCGAGCGGTCTTTCACCGGCGGCCTTTCTCGGCAGGCAGAAAAGAAAAACAGCAGCGAACACGCGTTCACTCGACTTTTTGAATCGTCGGATGAGAAATACGATTCCGCCGGCTTTACACGCGAGCGCGCCGTGTCGATTTGCTCAAAGAGTGTCGAGCGATATGCTTTCGGTTGTTCTCGCGGAACACCTCATTTTTCTGTTCTCTTTTTCTCCCCTTCTTTTTCTCTTTGCTTTTCGTTTTCGCTGCTCCCCAGATTTATTCGTGTGTCAGCCTCGGAGTCTCGCCGAGAACGATATTTTGGATTCGCTATTATGGTCGATTCGTAGTCGAGGTATGCGCGAGAGGGCGCGCGTCCGCGGTCGAAAGTCGCAAAGACGCGGAAGACGCTTCCATCGTCGTCGAGGTTTTCACGGGTCCGGGTGTAAAGATTATACTTCGTCTATGTATATATGTGTACACGCGGAGACACCCCTCTCACACACACAGAGACACGTATACACACGTACACGAGCACTCGCGCGAGCACGCGTACGCGATGCGCGCGTGCCACATGAGCCTGTGCGTGCGCGCGCGCGCGCACACGCGCGCAAACCGTACGCGTGTGTATGTACCATTATTGTATCACGGCGTAGGATAAAATGTTGCATGTTATTTCTATAATATGTGTTTTACGGATTGAGAATCCTTTATAGATGTCGTGTGTGACACAACAAGGCTTGAGACGAAAGGTTTCACACCGTGACTGCGTTCGCGCGCGTGCGCCCGCGCGCGCTTTCGAAGGAGAAGCGAGAGTTAGGCCGTCGAAAAATCCCCGCGATTTGGATTCCACCGCGGGCACGCGTCGCCCTGTTTTGCGCATACGTATCTGGCCCCAATCCGAAATCTTTCAAATTGAAAGCAGAGCGACTTGAATGGCGACGTGCACGATCGCGGATTCGAAAGTACCGCGCGTTTTCCGATTTCTGCTCCTTCCGTAAACGATCCGCGGATCAACAAGGCGCTCTGACAGTGGTGGCGATTCGCGAACGAAGTTTATGAGCTCGTCGATTTCGGGGCGGACGTGGTGCAGGTAACGACGCCATCGTCGCCGTCGTATCGGGTGCGATCTGTCGGGCTCGTGGAGGACAACATCATTGTATCGCGATAATTGGGCTTTACCGAAACCAGCGCGCCGCGGCACGTCGTACGGACGATATCGTCACGGTGTGAACGGGCTTTCCGCAAATGGGGAACCATCGTTACCATTCGGTCGCGCGGGCAGCCAAGCTCTCTGGGACAGGTTGGCGAACAGGTGAATAGAAAGAGAGAGAAAAAGATTGCGGCTGCCCGCGTGAGGAAGTAGAGGGAAGGCAGGGGGAAGCAAAATCGATGTCATCACTGCACCTACACCGCGCGCAGAGAGTGCACTGGCAACTACTGTACCGTTTGCTCGTATAGTATATAATAGTACTATACCGTAGTTGATAATGATTACATAGTACATGTGTATCACGCACGCATAAGCATATTTAAAAATCGATGAGGCAAAAGAGAAAACGAAAAAAAAGAACAAAAAGAAGAAAACGTGGAAGAATATGGGGTGGGAGGAGAGAGAGAGCGAGCGCGCGAGAACGAGAGCGTGAGAGAGAGCGAGAGAGAGAGAGAGAGAGAAAGAGAGAGAGAGAGAGAGAGAGATAGTGAGAAAGTGGAGAAAGAAAAGTAAAAAAAAGAAGAAAAAATAAAACAACACACGGCGTAGCGATGTCGCAGAGCGGGACCTCGAGCGTCCGGGGGACGAGCGGCCCGTTTCCCGGCCGCGACTTATAGTACAAAGTAAACATAATGTTAAGCGTTCAAACGGGAAAAAAAAGCAGAATGTGGATTTTGTAAACTTACTATACACGCTGTAAATTGTATAGGTGATGCAGAGCCATGCAGAGCAAAGCAAAAGAGGAATACAAAGAAAGAGAAAAAAAGCAAATGACCGCGCGCGGCCGGACGCGTCGTCGTCGGCGGCTCGTCGTCGGCGGAGGGGGACCGTTCCCTCCGCTCGATCGGCCTCCGCTCATGGAGCCCAACGCGATCACGATGACGATTTCGCCCCGTAACCGTGTACCTCAATCGATAAGGGTCCGCGACGCGTCTCATCCGCGGACGAGCCCGTCGAGACTCGCTCGAGTGGCGTGAGAGACGTCGCGCGTGCCTATCTCGTACCTTATCTTATCAACAATAAGACTGATCTTTCATCGTGGCGACGTACACGCGACACTGCCACAGAGGCCACGGGACCTACGCGGGGGGCCTCCGCGAGAGCCTCCGCACGTCGACGCGCCACGGCCGCCGCGCGACCGCCGCAATAATAATGGATCACACAATACTACTTCGTCACACACTAGTACAAATGCTACCTCACACACGACATACAGGGTGCACAGAATGAAGCTTACGGAAAATCTCTGTATATAACACAGTGAAGCGAGATAGTTTGCAAGATCGGATCGGCGCGTCGCACCGTCCTCGTCGCCGTCGCTTGTCGCCGTGGCTCCCGGAGGTAAGGGTAAATAAAAGGGGGTGGAAAAAGACGAGAGAGGCCGAACACAACCATCCACATGCGACATCACGGGCGGCGAGCGGACGGTGCGGCGCGTCGGGTGTCCTTCTCTCAGGAATATGAAAACCAAGTACAAACTACAAAGTATAATAGTCGGTAAGGTTTTAAATAAACATA